CCTCCCTCACACGCCCTCCCTCCCTCACACGCCCTCCCTCACACGCCCTCCTCTCCTACATCAAAGTAAAGGGAGATATTCGTCTTCGCGCCATTTCTGATTTTCCAATTCCATTCCAATTTTATTCTCCTTTTCAATGTTAATTATCAATTTCTCCGCCCTTCTTCTCTCCTCTTTCATCGTCGGTTTTCCATTCCATCGTTCTTTCACATCCAATCAACTTACATATAAATGAAGTTATAACACCCGGTCTGCTGTCTTACGGCCAATTACTGGCAAGTAAATATAACGCCATCACCTACAGTGGCCAATCACTAGCAAGTATGTATGACGTCATCAATTACAATGGCCAATCACTAGCAAGTAAATGTGACGCCATCACCTACAGTGGCCAATCACTAGCAAGTAAATGTGACGCCATCACCTACAGTGGCCAATCACTAACAAGTAAATGTGACGTCATCACCTACAGTGGCCAATCACTAGCAAGTAAATGTGACGCCATCACCTACAGTGGCCAATCACTAACAAGTAAATGTGACGTCATCACCTACAATGGCCAATCACCCGCAAGTAAATATGACGTCACCGATCGTCTTGACTATGTATCTGGATTGACGAATACGACATCTTCACTGACAGTAACCACTCATGACGAAGGAAACATATGACGTCACTAATCGTAAGTGGCATTGCCCTGTGAGTAAATACATGACGTAACCTAAATCATGAAAGCCAATCACCGTAGAGTTAATACAAGACATATTACCTGTGGGTCTACATATGACGGCACCAGACACAGGAGCCAATCACCGTCGAGGAAATACATGACTCCTAAACGAGGCAGTTACAGGAGCCAATCACCATCGAGTACATAGAAAACGTCACTAAGCATGAAAGACGGAAGAGCCAATCACCATCGGGTAAATACATGACGTCACTTATCTGGACTTCACGGGAGCCAATCACCATCGGGTAAATACATGACGTCACTTATCTGGACTTCACGGGAGCCAATCACGGGGAGTAAACACATCATCAAGAGAAAAACAAGACAAATTAACGGCTGGCTTCAGTAACAATAAAAACAATTAATAAACAAACAAACAAACAAACAAGAAACCAGCTCCGTCAACAAGGTAAACAATCATATGAACAGAAAACAATGAGGTAATTTTCAACTCACCAATTATCTGCCAGTCAGCGCAGATATTTTTTGAACCCACCAATCAGAGGTTAGCGTAATTATGACGTCACTAGATTTACCTGCAAGTACAGAGAGATAATTTTTAAAACCACCAATTAGAAAACAGTAAAGGAATGACGTCACTGAGCATCAACAAATCATAACATACATACTTGAATCCACCAATCAGTTAACAGTAAAATAATGACGTCACTGAGCATCTACAAATCATAACAGATATATACTTGAACCCACCAATCAGTTAACAGTAAAATAATGACGTCACTAAGCATCAACAAATCATAACAGATATATATTTGAACCCACAATCAACTAACAGTAAAATAATGACGTCACTAAGCATCTACAAATCATAACAGATATATATTTGAACCCACAATCAGTTAACAGTAAAATAATGACGTCACTAAGCATCAACAAATCATAACAGATATATATTTGAACCCACAATCAACTAACAGTAAAATATGACGTCACTAGCATCTACAAATCATAACAGATATATATTTGAACCCACCAATCAGTTAACAGTAAAATAATGACGTCACTAAGCATCTACAAATCATAACGAATATATTTGAACCCACCAATCAACTAACAGTAAAATAATGACGTCACTAAGCATCTACAAATCATAACAGATATATACTTGAACCCACCAATCAACTAACAGTAAAATAATGACGTCACTTAAGTTAAGACACTCATAGCCAATCAAGTTGCGACTCTTTCAGGAAATAACCCTTTGATAATTTCGCTTCAGTTGTCCCATAAATTATAACTCAACATAAGTTATCTCGTTAGTGTCATTGAGGAAGGTACACACACACACACACACACACACACACACACACACCTACACACACACACACACACACACACACACACACACACACACACACACACACACACACACACACACACACACACACACACACACACACACACACACACACACACACACACACACACACACACCTACACACACACACACACACACACACACACACCTACACACACACACCTACACACACATCTACACCTACACGCGCCTGGATCTTGTTGACTCTGAGGTTAATGAGGTAAGGTGTGTGTGTGTGTGTGTGTGTGTGTGTGTGTGTGAAAATACCACCTTTTTCCCTATAAATATCTCTCACTTCATGAATAAATGAATAAAATATCACCTTATGCATTACAAACTCTCCTCTGTATTTCAATTTCACAAACACAAAAACAATTTCCTTTCATAAAAAAAAATAAAACGATTAAAAAAAAACAAAAAAAATCAAAAAAAATTCAACCCACGTGGATAAAAACATTCAGCTTTCTTGATTGGTCGAGAGGAGAGACTCGCGTTCTGATTGGCTGAAAATATTTACCTCTGTCTTCATTGGTTATAGTCGGATGTAAACAAAAGATCTCGTTTCTATTGGTTTAAGTTCTCTGGAATTTTGTTATTTATTTGGGTCCGAGGAGGAAAGAGGGGGAGGGAGAGGGGAGGAGGAGGAGAAAAGGAGGAAGAAAAGAAGAAGAAAGAAACAGGAGATAAAAAGAAGAGAGGTAGGGACAGAGGATGATGATGATGATGAGAGGTAGAGTGGAGGGAGGAGGAAGGAGGGAAGAGGAGGAGGAGGAGGAGGAGAAAGGAGGAAAGAAGAAGGGAGGAGGAGGAGGAGAGAGTGAGTTGGGAATATTATTAGCTTATCCTCTCCTCTCTCTCTCTCTCTCTCTCTCTCTCTTGACCTGACGTAATGACCTTTATGACGTCACTCACCCCCAATTACATGACGAGTAATTCCCATGTGTATCTAATCACCTGCCACTGTATTATGAACGAGGCTTAACGGCCCAACACATTCTCTAACTGGGTGGTTTGTATTGGCTTACGATAGTTCCTGCTAACTACCCTCTCTAACAATCAGTCAATTTATCTTACTAACAAGGGGTTCTGCTAACTACCTCCAGTCATCAGTAGTTATCTTTCTGATTATACAATTCCCTCTTAACTACCCGTAATACAAACAATTCTGTCTGTTAACTACCCTGCGGTAACAATCACCTCTAACGAGTTCAACTACACGACCCAAAACAATCCACCGACTATCTTTCTTGACACGAGTGAACGAGCTGTCTAATGAGGCTCGTTTCTTAACACCCTAATTACCACTTAACAGCCTAATGGTCCTCACTAATGACCCCTGCCTGGAGGTAAGCACAAAACCAGGCAATAGAAACCGAAAGAGCCGGATTGTGTCTTTAACCACGTCTTAGATACACTAAAACGACACCAAAACTACCGAATGACCTTGTTAGACTACCCTGACTATAGTAACAATAAGTAAAGGTGGGTATAATTAACGTGAGTGATTCCCTTATGGATGCCAAGGTGAAGTACACAGAATGTTTTGGAACTATGTAATATCTGTATGTTCGTGCATCCGTCCGTCTGTCTGTTTGTCTACGCTCTATGGGGTAAACTAATGGAGTAAGAATGTTCATATTTGGTAAGCATGTCGCCCTTAAGAATGCCAAGGTCAAGTTCGAATATGAAGGTCACTGGTCTAATACTGTGTCTGTCCGTCTGTTTGTCCACGCTCTATGGGGTAAACTAATGGAGTAAGAATGTTCATATTTGGTAAGAATGTCGCCCTTAAGAATGCCAAGGTCAAGTTCGAATATGAAGGTCACTGGTTTAATACAGTCTGTCTATCTGTCTGTCTCTGGGTGTAGATAATTGGGTGATTAGCTTCCCTGGTAATGTGTTTACTGGTGTTTACAGAATCAATGTGCCACATGTTGGAGCTCCTGACACCTCATGACTCATCCATTACAGTGCCACATCTTCTCATCCACCACAGTGCCACATCTTCTCATCCATCACAGTGCCACACCTACTCCTCCACCCCAGTGACACAACTCATCCATCACAGTGCCACACCACCTCATCCACCACAGTGCCACATCTTCTTATCCACCACAGTGCCACACCTCATCCACCAGTGCCACACCACCTCATCCACCACAGTGCCACACCACCTCCTCCCACCACAGTGCCACACCTCATCCACCAGTGCCACACCACCTCCCCACCACAGTGCCACACCACCTCATCCACAGTGCCACATCTTATCCACCACAGTGCCACTCATCCACCAGTGCCACACCACCTCATCCACGACAGTGCCACATCACCTCATCCACCACAGTGCCACATCACCTCATCCACCACAGTGCCACACCACCTCATCCACCACAGTGCCACACCCCATAACTCATCCAAACTCCCACTAACGACCTTCAACAAACTTTCCCTCACCACTAACGAGCGTGAACTAGTTAGCTGACAGCTCGTTCCACTTGCCACAGATCTTGGACATAATGGGGTTACTCTCATCATCCTAATACCCCTTAATGACCAATGGTTATGTAATTACACTCTCTAACAACCCACTAATTACTTTATAGATGGTTTGTAGAAGGATAATTACTATTTAACTAATCTTGAAAATTCCTAATAACTCCCATTAAATTATATGACCTTGAATTAACCTAAATAACCTCTAATTGCCTTGTTAACCCTACAAATGATTATATACTAACCTATATGACCTCTTAACCTCACGTGACCTCTAACCACCTTGTATAACCCCAAACTACTACACGTGACCTCTAACTAACTTATATGACCTCTTAACCTCACGTGACCTCTAACCACCTTGTATAACCCCAAACTACTACACGTGACCTCTAACTACCTTACATAACCTCTAATGACCTGTTATCTACCTTCCAGATGGGTTGTTTCACTCGCTGGAGATCCTGGACACGTCAGGGTCACACTGTTTCCCGGCCATGAGGGAACTATCCATCAGGTCAGGTCGCGCCTTCGTTATAACCTTTGCGGTCAACAACGAACAGAGTTTCTACGAGGCCCAGGCGCTGTGGAACCTAATTAGCGAAGTCAAAGGTGAGGTTAGGTTAGGTTAAGGATTAGGTTAGGTTTTGGTTAGGTCAGATTTGGTGATGTTAGGTTAGGTTACGTTAGGTTTTGGTTAGGTTAGGTTAGGAGAATGGGGTAGGAGTCGGGGTGGTTAGTTTTGGGGAAGGGGAGAAGAGGGAGGGTGGTGATGGTAGGGAGGAGGAGGAGGAGGGAGGAGGAGGAGGAGGAGGAGGAGGAGGAGGAGGAGGAGGAGGAGGAGGAGGTCAACTATATGCGGGACTGGGTTGACTCTCTCTTCTCTTCTCCCTGTCAATATATAGCTCTCTCTTCCTCTTTCTTCCTCCATCGCCCTCCCTCCCTCTCACCTTCACTCTCTCTCACCTTCCCTCTTTCACCCCTCCCCCCTCTTCCTTTCCACCACACACCATCAATACATCGCCTCCTTACCTATTCTCCCTCCCCTTTCTCCCTCTCACCCTCCCTCCCTCTCACCCTCCCTCCCTCCCTCTCCCCCTCCCTCCCTCCCTCCTCCCTCTCCCTCCCTCTCACCCTCCCTCCTTCCTCTCATCTGTACAACACACCTGATACTCTCTCAATTAGGTGAAAGTGTCAGGTGAAGGTGTCAGGGAAGGTGTCAGGTGAAAGTGTCAGATAATAGTGTCAGGTGAAAGTGTCAGATAATAGTGTCGTGAAGTGTAGTTCAGGTGAAGGTGTCAGGTGAAAGTGTCAGGTGAAAGTGTCAGGTGAAGGTGTCAGGTGAAGGTGTCAGGTTCGGTATGATGTAAAGTGTCAACAAAAATATTACAGTATATAAACATTTATTTTATTTTAATTCTTTACTGATTCTTTCCTGCTATGACAAGGTGGTGGCGACACACACACACACACACACACACACACACACACACACACACACACACACACACAGCTAACACCATATCCTAAATTAAAAACAACACGACTGTCACCACCACTCAGGACTGTCACCACCACTCAGGACTGTCACCACCACTCAGGACTGTCACCACCCACTACCTCCCGAGCGGTCGAGAGCCCTTGTTGACAGCGTGTCCTGGACTGTCTATATTACATTGTTTATATACCTGGATTTTCTCTTTACACGTGAAATCATTGTAAACTTAGATGACGATTTTACTGTCTGTCTGTCTGTCTGTCTGTCTGTCTGTCTGTCTGTATATCATTCAGCTCTCTCTCTCTCTCTCTTCTCTCTCTCTCTCTCTCTCTCTCTCTCTCTCACACTGTATTTTTCTTTACCCATGGCCGACAGGTACATCAATATAATGGCAGGTGCGTTAATTACATTACTTGAGGCGGTGGATACTGGGGGTGGAGAGGGGTGAGATAAAGGGAGAAAGAGGAGATGGGGAAGGAGGAAGGGGAATATATTGGAAGGGTAGGAGGGAGGAAGAGATGATGAAGGAATAGACAGAAGGGTGAGAGGAATGGGTAGGTGAGAGGAATGATGAGTGAGGGAGGAGGGAGAGTGAGGGAAGGGGAGAGGAGGGAGAGGGAAGGGGAGAGGAGGGAGAGGGGAAGGGAGGTGGTGAGCGAGGGGAGGGAGGTTAATTTCCTTGTATGACACACACACACACACACACACACACACACACACACACACATGGTCTGACTATTGTTGGTGGAGGTGATCTCTCTCTCTCTCTCTCTCTCTCTTATTAACAACTCTCTCTCTCTCTCACCAGGGCTAGACAACGTACCCTCCGTATTAGTGGGTAACAAGGTTGACCTCTCGGGTGAACGGGAGGTCAGCTGGGAGGAGGCCAACGCTTACGCCACAGAGGTCATGCCTGCCGCCTATGTGGGAACTTCGGCCAAGTACAACCTAAATGTCACCCTCGTCTTCAAGGAGCTGCTCGTCTTGACCTTCGGCATCGGCAAGGACGAGGTGAGGTTCAAGGACGAGGTTGAAGTGTGAGGTTAGGTGCTTGAGTGAGTGTTTGAGTGTGAGGTTGAGTGTTTGAGTGTGAGGTTGGGTATTTGAGTGTGAGGTTGAGTGGTTGAGTGTGAGGTTAGTGTTGGGTGTGAGGTTGAGTGGTTGAGTGTGAGGTTGAGTGGTTTGGTGTGAGGTTGAGTGTTTGAGTGTGAGGAGTGGTTGAGTGTGAGAGAGAGAAAAGAAGAGAGAGAGAGAGAGAGAGAGAGAGAGACTATCCTTACTGACGCGCGTTACCTCATATTTCTAATACTTCTCTCTATATATCCTCTCTCCTGTTATTCCTCCTCCACTTTCCTTCCCACCTTCTCTTCCACTTCAATCTCCTCCTTCCTTCCCTTCCCTCCTACTCTTCTTCCTCCTCCTCCTCCTCTTCTTCCTCCTCCCCTCTTCCACCTCCCCTCTTCCCTCCCCTCTTCCACTTCTTCCTCTACCTCGTGAATCAGCAAATAACTTATTGTGAAACGTCAACCAGCACAACACACACACACACACACACACACACACACACACACACACACACACACACACACACACACACACACACACACACACACCAGCCACTCGAGGTTCTTCCACTTATAAATTGTGTTTTGGTTTGGCGTCTACACATGATGCAACGAGGCGGAAAGATTGATGGAAGGGCATTTGGGTAGGGGGGAGGGAGGTAGGGTAGGTAAGGGTGAGTAAGGGGTAGGTAAGGGGGTAGGTAAGGGGTAGGTAGGGGTAGGTAAGGGGGTAGGTTAAGGGGTTTTGAGGTGGTAGGGGGGTAGGTAAAGGGGTAGGTAAAGGGGTGAGTAAGGGTAGGTAAAGGGGGATAGGTAAGGGGATAGGTAGGGATAGGTGAGGGGATAGGAGGGATGAGGGAGTGGATGGATGGATGTCTCTTTCTCTCCCTTTCTTCTCCTACTGTCTGTTTGTCTCTGATTCTCATTATGTGTATCTACGAGGAAAAGAGAGAGAGAGAGAGAGAGAGAGAGAGAGAGAGAGAGAGAGGAGAGAGAGAGAGAATAGAGAGAGAGAGAGATAAAAGAAAGGAAATTAGAAAACAAAGGAGAATGAAAGTGTGCAGGAGAGAGGAGGGAGAGAGAACGAGGTAGAAAATCCCTTGTACAAACTCACTCCCACTCTTGTACACACACACACCCACTCACCAAACTCTCCCGGCAAACAAACAAAACACACAAAACAACGAAAACAAACACACAAACACTTCATTCCTTCCTCTCTCGTGATGTTTCGATTTAATTGGACTTTACAAAACAAAGAAACAAATATTTAACGCCCACGCACGAACTTCTGGTCAATTTAGAGGAGTTTATCGTGAAATCTTGAAGCGATGGTCATAGAAAACGGGATTCATTAACACCCCAATAACCGACCTCTGTAAATATTGTAGAAAATGGAGATGTGTAAATAATGACTAGTGTATTTTACGAACTTTCCAAGGGTAAATTATTATTATTATTATTATTATTATTATTATTATTATTATTATTATTATTATTTTTTTTTTTTTTTTTTTATTATTATGGTTATTATTATTATTATTATTATTATTATTATTATTATTATTATTATTTGTCTCTCTCTCTCTCTCTCTCTCTCCCATCTTTTCTCCTCCTCCTTCCCACTCTTCCTCTCCTCTCCTCCCTCCTCCCTCTCCTCCTCTCTGCCCTCTCCTCCTCCCCCTCTCTTCTTCCCCCACTCCTCCCTCTCCGCCAACGCCCACACAACACACACTCACTATTGATACAGACAATATTACCTGCCGCGGGCTGCAACTCCTGGAGGGGAGGGGGAGGGGGGTGGGTGGGGGAGGGGGTGGTGGGGGAGGGAGGGGTGGGGGAGGAGGTGGAGGTAGAGGAGAAGGAGGAGGGAGAAGGAAAAAACAGAAGAGGAAGAGGAGGTACAAGAAAAAGAGGAGAAGGGAAGGAGGAAAGAGAGAGGAATACCAAGATGATGACGAAAAAAGAATGCAAAAAGGAGAGAGAGAGAGAGAGAGAGAGAGAGAGAGTCATTGGTCCATAGGTAAATATTATCCTTCCAACACGACAGGACCAACTACACTACAGGAGGAATAACATGTCGACACACACACACACACACACACACACACACACACACACACACACACACACACACTAACGAGTTAAATCAATTTGTTTTTCTTTTAACTTTTTTCGAAAATATTTAAAAATGGTACGAGTATCCAGCAGTGACAGACAGACAGACAGACAGACAGACAGGGTTATAATTATCAAATCATTCCCGTATCGTGGTTCACTAGTCACGTGTACAGTATATATTTAGGCATAACAACCTAACTAGTTCTCCAGCCAAATTGAGTTATTTTCCTAACTCATATCTACCAACCAGGTGTCTTTAGTCATTAACCCACAAATAAATAAAATAAATAAATAAAAATAATTCCAGCCGAAAATACACATCTGCTTAATTAGAAGTGTTGAGTAAAGACATTTTTTACCTGTTGATTTGTATGTAAAAACTTATTAAAAAAGAGTTAAGTAAATTATGCTACCAGGCTCATGATATACCCAGCTGAGAGGCAGAGATCTGTCGTCACGTGTGTTTGTTTACATGTGATCAGCTGAGAGGCAGAGATCTGTCGTCACGTGTGTTTGTTTACATGTGATCAGCTGAGAGGCAGAGATCTGTCGTCACGTGTGTTTGTTTACATGTGATCAGCTGAGAGGCAGAGATCTGTCGTCACGTGTGTGTTTGTTTACATGTGATCAGCTGAGAGGCAGAGATCTGTCGTCACGTGTGTTTGTTTACATGTGATCAGCTGAGAGGCAGAGATCTGTCGTCACGTGTTTGTTTACATGTGATCAGCTGAGAGGCAGAGATCTGTCGTCACGTGTGTTTGTTTACATGTGATCAGCTGAGAGGCAGAGATCTGTCGTCACGTGTGTTTGTTTACATGTGATCAGCTGAGAGGCAGAGATCTGTCGTCACGTGTGTTTGTTTACATGTGATCAGCTAGAGGCAGGCGCGTCAACAATCACCAGTGATCCTAGATCCTTGTTCACCCTCTTACGATCGTTCCTGAAAGGTGGGGAGGGAGGGGAGGGGAAAAGGGGGGGGGCAGAGGAAAGAGGAGGAAAGGGGAGAGGAGAGGGGGATTAGGAGGGTAAGGGAGAGGAAAGGGAGGGTATAAGGATCAGGAGGGATTGTGGGGATGAGGGCGGCGTGGACATCAGATCTAGGTATCACTTGAAAAAAAAATCGTCTTTAGAGAATTATGTTGCGTGTGTGTGTGTGTGTGTGTGTGTGTGTGTGTGTGTGTGTGTGTGTGTGTGTAGTCTAAACCTGTCTGTCTATCTGTCCTGAAAAGTCTGATACACCAATTGTTCATCGTGCATCATCTGTGTTTCTTAGCACTTATCATGTTATTATCTGTCCTATCACGCCTCCTCTTTGTTCCTATCACGCCTCCCTCTCTGTTCCTATCACGCCTCCCTCTCTGTTCCGATCACGCCTCCTCTCTCTGTTCCTTTCCGCCTCTGTTCCTATCACGCCTCCTCTCTGTTCCCATCACGCCTCCTCACTGTTCCTATCACGCCTCTCTGTTCCTATCACTCTCTCTGTTCCTATCACGCCTCCCTATCTGTTCCTATCACGCCTCCTCTCTGTTCCCATCACGCCTCCTCACTGTTCCTATCACGCCTCCTCTCTGTTCCTATCACGCCTCCCTCTCTGTTCCTATCACGCCTCCTCTCTGTTCCTATCATGCCTCCCTCTGTTCCTATCACGCCTCCTCTCTGTTCCTATCACGCCTCCCTCTCTGTTCCTATCACGCCTTCCTCTCTGTTCCTATCGCCTCCCTCTCTGTTCCTATCATGCCTCCTCTCTGTTCCTTACGCCTCCCTCTGTTCCCATCACGCCTCCCTCTCTGTTCCTATCACGCCTTCCTCCTATCACGCCTCCCTGTCTGTTCCCATCACGCCTCCCTGTTCCTATCACGCCTCCCTCACTGTTCCTATCACGCCTCCCTCTCTGTTCCTATCACGCCTCTGTTCCCACAATAACCAAGTGTCTCTTTCTCTCTCCCTCTACAGAAGAAGGAGAGGCGAGGCTCCAGGATTCGCATGTCCCTTAGCGATCTCTCCATCACCTCCCGAAGAAAGTCATCAGGAGCCATGTCCACTGCGTCAGGAGCCACGCTGGCCACGGTGTCCGGTATCTCCCGCACCGGCAGCGCCCTCAGTGACGACACCCCCGACGACGAGAATGCTAATAAATCGTCCTCGTCAGTAGTGAAGAACGCAAGTGCCAGCGACAACAACGGGGCCACCAGGAGACACAGCCTGAAGCAGGAGAAGTGTGTCATACTGTAGAGCGGTTCCTTAGTGTATAGCAAGTGCATAGCAAGTGTATAGCAAGTGCATAGCAGGTGTATAGCAAGTGCATAGCAGGTGTATAGCACGTGGATAGCAGGTATACAGAACGTGCATAGCAAGCGCATAGCAGGAATATATATCACGTGCATAGGAGGTGTATAGCACGTACATAGCAAGTACATAGCAGGTGTAATGCGTAACAAGTGTCTAGCACGCGTTTAGCAAAGCCATAGCACGTATTTAGTAGGGGCATAGCACGCACATAGCAGGTGTAATGCGTTAACAAGTGTATAGCACGTGCTTAGTTGGGTTATAACACGTGCATAGAAAGTCGCGTATAGCAGGAATGCAGCACGTGTACAGAAGGCGTATAGCGAGGGTGTATGGAGGGTATAGCAAAGGTATAGCAGATATAAAAGGAATAAACCCCGCAATAACGACCTAACCTCAGGGTACCGCCAACAACAAGAGGTTCCATCTTCTCTCCCACAACACTCACCTAACCTCAACGCCAGACGAATGATCGCTCGCCTCTTACCAACACAAACCAACTGAGACTGGCAGACAAAGTACTTTCGTGAACAAAGAACAACAACAACGAGACTAAGAACAAATAGTTTTATCATCTTAGACAAAAGTTTAGAAATTAATGATAAAAATCGATGCATAACATAAATACTGATGAACAAGTGAACAAAATATGAACAAGTGAACAAAATATATCATTTTCTTGAGTGACATAAGTGAAAAAAAAATGAAAAGTATGAAATATTCTGAAGAACAAAGAACAACGCTTGCTATGATCATGAAAATATAGAAAATACATTAAAAAAAATAGTGATTATGACCATTAATAAAGATAATATAATATGGTATTGAAGTGAAGTGAAAAAAAAAAATTCTTCAATCATAAAAAATGGACGAGTCAAACTTATAGAAAACCTGATCAAACACCAAAACAATTATATGAACAATAACTCCTGTATATCACGAGAAATATTAGTGTTTGTTAGTTAATACTGTAGATAAAATTATATATATATATATATATAGTCTATAGCCTTCTCCCTGATATATATTAAAAAATTACTCTTTTTTTTTGTAACGAGAAACTTATATCGAGAATATATTGCAGTCTTCCCCCCCTCCTCTTAATATACGACCTAACAGTAATGAAAATGAGTGTCCACAATATTTTCACGCTTGCTGCTTTTACGTTCAACAATTTTACCCTAAAAAGACGATTCTTTCCCCAATAAATATAAGAGAAATAAGAGCAATAATATATCTTAAATTTTCATCCACTCAAGAGGATTCAAGAGTAATTTATGGGATTTTTAAAAGGTGTTGAATAGTGTTAAAAAGGTGTCGTGTTGTGTTTGCCATCTTGAGCGTATACTCTTAGAGAATTTATACAACTAACAAGTAATTGATGCTATTTTGTATCATGTTAAAGGTTTTATACACATAGTTTTAAAAAAAGATTATTTCTCATTTATAATTTTTTTTTGAATAATGAAAAATAAAATATCAAATACTTTCCACCACTACAAAATAATTCTTGTCACACAGGAAGGAATTTAAACTCTTAATTATACCGTAAAGTCTATTTTAATTTCCACAAAGAATATTTATGAGAAAGAAACAAATAAACTCCCATAAAATAAGAATACTGAATCACATCGGCCAAAATAATATAAATAATAATATCGTTAACACGGAAATATAATAAGGAATATTTCGCTTGGTATCGCCTTTCCCGCGTCACAGATAGCAGTCAGAGATATCGACATAGTTATACAAATATATACATAAATATACATCGATGTAGGAATTAATTAGTAAGTTAATGAGATTTATAATTAAAGTGAGATTATATACATCAATACTTGAATTAAAATCTATGTATATATAAGTGTATTTCAATGATTATCTAATTCTGTATATTTTCTGTAGGTTAGTTGTCTTTCGTTTTCTTGTATATAATTGAGAAATAAATTCGTTTTGAGGAATAACTTCGATAAATCTTTTTAATATTTTTTTATCTTAAGAATTTAATCCCGAAACGCTTATAAATATTAAAATTTATATATAAAATAATTACACGAATTATATTTTACATTCTCAAAATATATATATCACTAAGAAAAAATTAGTAATAACGAAATGAAATAAAAAAAACAGTCTTTCGATAAATTAATATCAAAATAATTAATGCTAATAATCAAATCAAAATAAGAATTTTTTTCCATTTTATTATTATTATTGTATACGATAAAAATAATAATGCCTTGTACGAGTGCATAGGCATAAATCCGTGTTTATGCCTCCCTCCCCGCCGAGTACATATTGTGAGTGCAGTTTCGAGTGCATAATCAATGGTGCGTATATGAGTACAACTCTTCGATCTGTGTCCAGAGTGCAATATTTGAGTACATGTTTTTCTGACTTGACGCATGGGAGGTATGAGTGAATGTGTGTGTTTGTTTGAGTGCATATCTTGAGTGCATATTAAGCGTTATAAAAGTAATATCCACATAATAATAATAATAATAATAATAATAATAATAATAATAATAATAATAATAATAATAATAATCACAGTAATAATAGATTGCCATATTCAACATAACATTCATATACTCAATAGCAAGACATAGCTAGTTGTGGATAGAAGCTAAAACAAGGGCTATTAACTGGTAGATGAAAAAATTAGATAAAAACTAGAATACGAGACAAAGATGGCGGCTCGTATCAACATGGCCTCAGTAGATGAATGGAATCTACCCATCTATAAATGCTCAAAGTAGATAATTATGCATACGTGTACTAGTTAATACAAACTATACCAATATATGCTTGAGGTAGATATAGTAAATTAACTAGCCACTAGATGCTCAAATTACAGGTGAGAGATAAGGACTGCTTTCACCTTAGCTACCTGACGGATTAAATATATTTAATTTGGTCATATGAGTGTTAAGTCTTCAGATATCTTAGTTCTTGTTCAGCCTAACCTAACCTAACCCCATATGACTTCAAACATACATATATGCTATATATATATTCCCATTCAACTATCTACCAATAAATAGATTGACATACATTATCGTCTACCCATACAAGTAGATGAGAGAATTAATCTACCACAAATATGATCTTAGTAGATATATAAAAAAAATTCATATACACACCTGGTTTGGGAAATTCATTTATATATCAGGTATGAAATCGTGAAAGGAATTTGATAAACAACTCAGGTGTGAAATGAAATACATACCAAATCATATTGAAAACAGATGTTGTAAAATGAACCTTAAAATTGGCACTCAAAATTATGTTAAAATTAATGTTATGATTAGTGTTGAATTCTGTAGTTAAATTAACACCCAAATTGGCACTATTATTGATGTTATTCATGGCACACACACATTAACATTCATATTGGCACTGCAATTGGCACCCTCTGCATAAAAAAATATTCCGTTCTAAACCTGTTGCATTGTTGACTATGATTTTCTAATAATAATAATAATAATAATAATAATAATAATAATAATAATAATAATAATAATAATAACGCAAACTACTATTGTTAATCTACGCCTCTAATAACTTGTTAAGATTTTATATTTAACATGTAAGAATAGTGTATTTAACATGATATTTACAACATGTTAGTTTTTCCTGTATACCACATGTTAATCTGTACCAGTCATGTCTACGTGATAGGGAGATGTGTTTAGAGGCGGAGCTTAAGATACTAGTAAAGGTATCTCATTGGACGATAATGTATAAAGTTGCCAAATACATTTTACTTCTCAATTCTTATTGGTTGGAGACATTGGCAGTGGGCGGAGATTATTGCCAATAAACGAAATTTGTTATATTTGCGAAGATTTTTGATTTGTCGAATATATTAATGATATTTATTCGATATTAATGGAGGTTGTGATTGGTTAGAAAATAATAGTTTTCATTAAGGCTATCCACTGCTATTGGCTACTAGAAGTAAAATGGGGCGGGGTTTATAAAATTTGGTGTTCTGTGATTGGGTGACGGTATTGCTCGAGTTGACAGATGATGTGATATGATAGTATATTATATTTAGTGTACCTCATATAATAATATCTATATTACAGGTGAACCCTTTCTATAGCATAATAACTACAGGTTACAATGAACACTATCACCTTTATAGATTCTAAAACATTGTATTAATCTTAAAAATAAACAAGAAATTAATTAAATAATCATAACTGGCAACTTCATCTCGTGATAGCTGCCATGTTTCTCCATTTAATAAACGTGAACAATAATAATTCTATAATGTATATCACCTAAAGATCAGCCCTCCTTTATATATTACCTCATGATTAAATACTCTAATACTAACCTAACCTAACCTACCCTACCCTACCAGGCAATAGGGTGTTTAATAACCATGGGAACTATACAGGAGGGTGTGTAATCTTCATGTGATCTTACAGTGGGTGTTGATGTTCCTCTCTCTCTCTCTCTCTCCAAGTTAACGAAATAAAACAGATGGACTTTTCTGAAACGTTTCATTTGTATTCTAAAAAAAAGACACAACCTCCAGTTTAATGGTTATCGGGTTACCAAGACACACACACACACACACACACACACACACACACACACACACACACACACACACACACCTGATCGAGCAAAGGTCACACGTTGGCCTATACGTTCACACACACTTATGAGCGAATTTCAAAAAATATCCTACCAAGAAATACATACATACATACATGCAGTACATACATATACATACATACATACATACAAAATAACTATGAATACACCCACAAACACACAAATCAATACAAAATACATAAGGTACCAAACAAAAGTGTATTATATAATTAGACATACAAATATAAAATACAAAGATAAAAAATATAATCATCCGCATCTTATAAAAAAATACTCATATATATATCGACAGACACAAACCAACGATATAATTTATTTTCACACATATGGGTGGCAGCGGTGGGATTGTAAATAGCCTGAATATGACTTGTATAAAAAGCATTATGCACGGAGGAGGAGTGTTATTGTATGATAAACAATAATAACAAGATACAACTTCAGTGTTTCATTGACCCGAGTCCCTTTTAACTGTAAGATTAATATTACGTCATAAAAACAAGTGAGTTAGTGTAGTGTTGATCTTGTGTTGACATTCTCATATATTCTTTGCTTGTTTTTGTAATTTTCTGTCTCTTCTATCCATCATTATCTCTGTGTTTTGTTTATTGCTTTCATTCCCATTTCACCTGTCTGTCTGTCTGTCTGTCAGTTAATTAGCCAATCTATTCACCTTTGTTGTTTTTTATATAACCCAGAGGCATTGTATTCAGTAATGTGCAATGTAAACACTAGTCTCAAGTGTGAATAGGTGTGAGTCAAGTGCGAGTAGGTGTGAGTCAGTGCGAGTAGGTGTGAGTCAAGTGCGAGTAGGTGTGAGTCAAGTGTGAGTAGGTGTGAGTCAAGTGTGAGTAGGTGTGAGTCAAGTGTGTGTGAAAGTCGTAGTACCTGGACAATAGCTCAGGTGTGTTAATTAGTACAATATATAATGATACAGTACAATGATATTAAAACCAAAAACAATAATGATGAGAATAATGATAATGACACCTACAATAATAATAATAATCTATCCACTGAATAATATATATATATATATATACGTATATATATATATATATATATATATATATATATATATATATATATATATATATATATATATATATATATATATATATATATATATATATATATTAAGAATTAAGTACATAAATAAACAAAATAATTAAATAAACACAAACAAGAAAATAATTACTTAAATAAAATAACTTACAAATAAAGTGAAATATAAATAAATTTAAATAAACAAAAAGACAAAAATATAAACGAAAATAAATCAAACTTAACTTAATAAATGAGATGTAAATAATAAATAAAAATAATGAACCAAATAATTAATAAAAAACACAATTATAAAAAAAAAATAAAAAAATAATAAAATAAACTAAAGGCTAAAAGAGTAAATATAAAAATATAAAATTATAAATAAAAATACTAAAATGCTGTAGAGTCCTAAACACTAAGATTATTATTATCATTTTCTGAGATATTTAATGAACCCAGAGTGGCAGGTGAAACAGGTAATGAAAACAAGTCACTGACCCACATCGGGGGGGGGAGCGAAAGTGTAATAATAATAATAATAATAATAATAATAATAATAATAATAATAATAATAATAATAATAATAATAATAATAATAATAACAATAATAATAATAAAGAAATACAAAAATTAAAAAAGGATCAATAGTGAGAAACAATATATGTATGTTGTGTTGTAAGAGAAACAATTGAGACCCCGCAATTGTGTGTAAATGAGGTAGAAAGTCAGATCATTAACCTGGGACTTGGTCACATATGGCAGCAGGGTCTACCATTAGGCAACACATTATGCTTCCAATATCTTCACATAAAGATATTGTTGAGTATGAGTTAAGAGAATATCCATGTAATGTTGACGTTGTGTGGTTCATTTGTGGAAGTGGTTTTAACGTCATGACACCAAAAAAGCCTTTATTCATACCACGTGGCTGAATGGGTGATCCTAAATATAGCTTTGTATCTCGTTGACACGGTAAGCCAATAGAAAACGTATACACCCCACGTCATAAAGATTCTCGTTGAGCATTGGCGGAACATCAGTGACGTCGGTGAAGAATCGATCGTGATTGGATAGAATTTCAGTTGGGTTCATGTGTCGTCATAAAATAGATCAATGGTGATAGGTGACATTTCCGACTAAATCAATGACGCCACATGAATACTTGACGGTGATTGGTAGGTAAAGGTTATGACACAATATGTTGACATAGTGTGTTGTAACAGGTGACAAAACATGTTATTCGGGATCACTAATTAGTCTGTCAGGTGTTTTATGTACTATTTACACCTGTAGGGAAGAGGTAAGGTTTTATTCAGTGACTGGACGTTGAGAGAGAGAGAGAGAGAGTCAAAACCCTACAACACACACACACACACATTTAGAAACTCCACATCACACCTTTCTCCTCCTCCTCCTCCTCCTTCTCCTCCTCTGGGAACTTTCTTTCATACTTTCACCGAGAAATCATCTGTGTGGTATAATGATGCTTTCAATAAATACTTTCTTTTGGTATTTTTGCCTTAAGAAAGTATTTTGACTGGTGGGTGGATTACTTTCTTTATTATTTTGTTTAGAAAGTTACCTATTTAAGCAGTTACTTTCTATAATCCTTTCACTCACTACTTTCACTGATGACGTATCTCGTGACAATCGTAAGGACTGGAGAATTAATTATTTTCTCTTATGCTTTCACTGATAAGTCAACCTAACCAGACACTTTCTTTTTTACTTTCACTGGTAGTCTCACACCTAACCACACACTTTCTTTTATGCTTTCTCACTTAAAATATCCTAACCTAACCTAACTTAGCCGAACCTAACCTCACTTTCTCTCGTGCTTTCACTATAGAACTGTACGTCAGGGTTAGTCCTTTCACTTGAGCTGACTTTCTTTTGCTTCCACTGTCATATTACGTAACATTTGAAAAGAGGTGGCTGGTGACGTCACTATTAGCCATCAATGGATTAAATACCTTATGACGTCAATGTAATGTTTACTTGTCTGCCATTGGATGAAATAACTGATGACGTTAATATTTACTTAACTGTCATTGGACGGAATTTCTGATGACGTCAATGTTTAATTAACTCTCATTGAACGAAATACCTGATGACGTCAATGTTTATTTAACTCTCATTGGACGAAATATCTGATGCCGCCACTTCTACTGACATGTCATTGGTAGAGCTCATCCAATCATATAACGAACTCGAATGAAAGACCAAATTATGACGTCACCGCCTTACGTATACCGACTTAAATGATTGGATAACATGAATTATTACGTCACCAACCTATGTTAATGAGTTCCCTAATTGGATAAAGCTGATGACGCAATGAGTTACATGTTTACACCATTGTCTTCCTGTTCCAAGACTTGTTTACAGCTCAGAGGGGCGTAAATTGTTTATAAAGGCCGCTTGTTAGGGTAGAGAGAGAGAGAGAGAGAGAGAGAGAGAGAGAGAGAGAGAGAGAGAGAGAGAGAGAGAGAGAGAGAGACTTTATGGTCCGGAATTCTTGATGTTCCCTCTCACGGTCATGTATAATGTAATAAAATTTTCAACAACAATAATACACACAATAACAATAACAATAATAATGCAGTAGATGATGATATTTTTTATAATACGAGATGACCCCCCCCCCCACCCCGCTCCCCACACACGCAGAATTACTACCCCGTGATGCCCCTCATAACACCATCTGTGAGGGAGTTACTACACCACGTGTCTGCTGTTCAACACCTCAGCTCACATGATCTACGTGACCTCCACTGTAAACATTAATCTGTATGTTCACTGTGTGTTCCTTCACCTTTCTCTAATGAAGGCTTTTGTTAAACCACCAATGTATGTAATAAGTCATTTATGTCCAATGTAAATTTTTAGCCTTCCAGGCAGAACTTTTCAATAAACCGTTAATTATTACGATTATTATTATTATTACTACACCCATCACACACACGCCCCCAACCCACCCCCCAACACACACCCACACGCCCCCAACACACCCACACGCCCCAACACACCCACACGCCCCAACACACACCCACACGCCCCCAACACACACCCCAGCCCCAACACACACCCACACAACACACACACACGCCCCCAACACACACCCACACGCCCTAATCCCACACACACACCCACACGCCCACCACATACACGCCCACACGCACCCACAGTAAGATAGCCAGGGTCCTTTATCCGATACGAAAAAGTTACTACATGCAGAGATCACAAGGCTCTTACTTGATCCTGATATAAAGATGTTATTATTAGCGAAGGTCAGTGTTATGGTGAGAGAGAGACATTCCTCCTTTTCATATACAAATCCATGAAACACACACACACACACACACACACACACACACACACACACACACACACACACACACACACACACACACATTTTCTGGTTATGGAGACAATATTTACCATTAGTCTGCTGTTAATGGCACTTGGTGGGTTAACACTATTATCCCCCAAGAGGCAAATTTAAAGTCGTTTATTTGACCGTTCTCTCCTCTCTCTCTCTCTCGTTATCTTTCTTTCTATTCCTTCTCTTTCCCTTTATACCCCTCCTCTTATCCTCCATCTCTCCCATTACCTTACCCCCTTCCTCCCTCCTTCCCCCCTCCCTACCCTCTCACCACCCTCACCCCTTCCCCCATTATAAGGTCAAGGTTAAATTTTCCTCCAAGTGGGGAGAAGTGAACTGCGGGTGGCCCTGTCCGTAGATTGTTTGGGTTAAATTTGGTTAGGTTAGGTTGAGATTACGTTAGGTTATGTTGAGGTTAGGTTAGGTTATGTTGAGGTTAGGTTAGATTAAGTTGGGTTAAATTTGGTTAGGTTAGGTTAGATTAAGTTGGGTTAAATTTGGTTAGGTTAGGTTAGTAATTCGTGTGTGACCAACAGTAAGGTGCCAACGTTGTTCTCTCTGACCCCAAGTGACGTGGCACCTGGTGGGTTGTATTTAAGTGAGTGGCATTCAGAGTGCCATTCAGAACAGGTGTGGTTATTAAGCACCTTTAACTAGGTCCACGTTACGATGACACTAACGACCTGGAACTAACGTCATTTCACCCATACCATCACAACACCTCAATATCGTCTCGTTAAACACTTCATTATATCAAAAAATAACGTAATGATTCCGTAATAGAACCGATTTCATTATATAAAGAAAAAATCAATTACTCCCAAAAATCATCACCTAAATATATACGTGTTTGTGTTATGTCTCGCTAATGATATCGAGTTTGACAAGTGACGATAAACAAATGACAATCAGCTGTTTCGTGTTTACATCGGTCTCAGCTGATGTGTTGACGTCACAATCAGCTGATGTGACCAAACAGTGATGTAGGTCTAAAAATATTGATATT